GCAGCAGGTGTTTTGAGAGGACTCCATTGACTAGTTTCTTCTGTGAGTGAGTCTGTGTGTTGATTTCTCCTGCAGGAGTGAACTGTGAAGTTGATGTTGATGAATGTGAGACGGATCCCTGTCAGAACGGCGCCACCTGCCACGATCACGTGGGTCTGTACACCTGTGAGTGTGTGCCGGGATACGAGGGCATTAACTGTGAGCTGGACATCAACGAGTGTGACGGTTCACCCTGCCAACACGGAGGAACATGTCTGGATATGGTGAACGGGTGAGTGAACTGATCCGGCTTCAGTCTGATCATGGAGGTTTCAGACCACTAATCATTAACCAGAGGACCACCAACTGGTACAGTTTAGTTCCAGCCCTCCTCCAACACACTTGCCTTTATAATTTACCATATATTTAATTAGAGTTAGAGCTAAATTCTGCAGGAAGGTGGCCTTAACTAATCACTCTGTACCTTAACTGATCAACCAGTGCTATAACTAAAAAAACAGTGTTTCAACTAATCAGTTTGTGGCTAATCAATTGGTGTCTTAACCAATCACGTAGTGCCTTAACTAATCAACCAGTGTTTTAACTATTCAGTCCGTGGCTGATCAATCAATAGCCCTCGTTTCCACCGCAGGAACTTTCCCCAAGAACTAGGGACTTTGGGCCAGTACTCGGTGTGTTTCCACCGCAAATTTCGTGCCCCGGGACGCCCCGTTGCTTAAAATAAAGCGATACAGTAAAATCTTTCCCCTGCACTGAGACGGCTCGAGAGGTTCAAACTCCGGTCCGAACGCCACTGGCCACGAGCTTTGAGCTCTGCTCCCACGGAGCATATTTATTTATAGCATATTTTATTTTAGAAACTCGAAACAATGTTTAATTTATAAAGTTTTATTTTGAAATGTAAGTCAATAACAATTGGCTGAAGCCAGAGCCAATGGTGAAAGTCTTTACGCCCCATTTTGGAGGTTCTGCCCACTTTTGGAGTTCACGCCCCATTTTGGAGATCTCCGGTCTACAGTTATACCTACTTGGCGAGCTCCGCAGCAGACTTCTACCCGACAGTCAAAGCGGCATTACGTCACGAAAGTGCGGACTCCGAGGAAGACCGCAAGGGTTTAGGGTGCCATTTGGGACAGGGCCAGAAAGTCCCTGCTCGCGAGGTAGCTTAGTACTTTTTCAAAGGTCCGGAACTTTTGGGGGCGGAACTTGGGCGCTGAACATGCTGATTGGTTGAGTTCACACAGCATTGTATTTCAACCACCATATATTCGCATCATTTAAAAAAAAAATATTACTGTTATGGTGTCATGAAATGTAGTTTTAAAAGTATTTCAGGCCAGAATGTAATTGTTTAAAACTCAAATCTGCGGTTTATTTATAAAGACAGCGCCTATTTGAAAATGTGCGTCGCTGATTTCGGAGACGTGAGCTCCAGGCGATCAGCGGGCACTCAGTGCTCATGTTTCCCGACGAGAGCAGCCTAACCTTGGCTAGTCCTTCTGACATTTGCCGCTGGCTCTGATGTCTCTGTAGTGGTTAAACATAAGATATAATTCGTTTTGGGTAAATCTTAACAGGTAATCTTTGGTCTTTATTCTATTAATATGTTAGAATGAAAATGAAAAGAGGCAATACTGTTTGATATAATATTTCGTTTCATTGTAATGCATGTACGTTCCCTGAACTACATTTCTGCGGCTATTAATATGTTTAAATGAAAACTAAAAGAGGCAGTGGTGTTTGATATCATATTTCGTCTTATTGTAAATACAGTGAGGAAAATTGCAGTAGCCAAGGTGAGCTGACTGATGCTATCAAGTACGCTGCTGTTTGCAGAATTACCGGACTTGCGTCGTCCCGTCTGCGGTCTCAAATTGGACTCCAATTTGCATATTGGTATTGAGAAACGCACGCAAACCTACGTCACACGACTATTTTGCCTAATCTTCACGGTACTTTAGACTGCGATGGAAACACCGACAGCAACAGGTCTGGGGGAAAAACGTTCCTGGGACAAATTGTTCCAAGTAATTTTGGTGGAGAAGCGGTTAATGAGTGTCTTAACTAATCAATCATTGTTTTAACCAATCAATCTCTGGCTAGTCAATCAGTGTCTTAACCATTCAACCAGTTAAATAATTAATCTGTGGCTAATTAATCAGTGCCTTTACTGATCAACCAGTGCCTTAACTAAACTAGTTTCTAAATTAATCAATCTGTGGCTAGTCAGTCAATAACCTAACTTAGCAACTAGTTCCTTAACTGATCAGTCAGTGCATTAACTAATAAAAAAGTTTCTTATCTAATCAATCTGTGGCTAGTCAGTCTGAGTCTTAACTAATCAACCAGTGCCTTAATTGTTTAGCTAGTGTCTAAACTAATCAGGCACTGCTGTGGCTAATCAATGAGTGTCTTAACTAATCAATCAGTTTCTTAACCAATCAACCAATGTCTAAATTAAGACAGCTCCTTAATCCAACCAACCAACCAGTGTCTTAACTAATCAATCAGTGCCACAACTAATGAAGATTTAGTGTATGTACTAATTAACTAGTGTTTTATCAAGTCAGTCAGTGTCTTAACTAATAAATTGTTCAAGTAATCAACAAGTACTTTATCAAATTATCCAGTATCTTAATTAATCTGTGTTTCAACCAGTGCATCAAGTCATGTTTCTCTTTCAAATGTGACTTCTCAGTTATTTTGAACTACAATCACCATATCAGTGTCAAAAATGATCCGGCATGAATCACATAAATCTCGGATCGCGACTTTCCCAAGGGGGACCAAGATTTCTGTGCCCTCATAATGCAATTTCTCCCCCTGCCCCTCCGGAGGTCTCCACTGGTCAAGCTTAGAATAAATGCACGTTAATTTACGTTAAGCAATACTGAATGAAAGTGTAGTGTGTTTGAGGAGATATTAGAAGTGGAAGTGTAATGGCATGGGAATGATTTGTCTGAGATGATTATATAACATCATATAAATACATTTTCTGTCTGTAATTGGCTCTCTGTCCTTTAAAACCACACAGCTAGTGTATAAAATAATGTGTTTTTCAGCCGGTGGTGTTTTGAATTACAGCTATGAGTGCGACTGCAGTGGCACTGGATTTGTGGGCTCTTTCTGTGAAGTCGACATACCCGAGTGTGAGTCTGACCCCTGTCAGCACGGCGCCACCTGCCAGGAAGGAGTTAACCAGTATACCTGCCTCTGCTGGCCTGGTAACTAGTCTTCAGTTGAACCTTTTCATTGTCTCTTTGTGTTTATTTTTGCATTCAAAGGCTCATTTAATGGCAAGTGAATTGCAGTGATGATGTCTTAGCATCACACCACATCTGTTACATCACACTGCCGCCTAGAGAAACATGTAGGACATTGCAAAGAGAATCGTAAACTCCAAATGAAATGCTATTTCAGACTAGCATGGAATGCATGTTTTTATTGGAGTAGATGTACCATATTTTCCATAAAATAACTGACTCCATATGTCTCCACGGGTTTAAAATTGCTTTGTTTGGATTAATACATTCAGAAATAATATATAAATATAAATGAAACAATAAATGTTTACAAACATTATAAACACTATAGACATGTATTTTAGTTGCCCTCACTAAACAACCAACCTTTTCAATTTAACTGTATGCACAACAGAACAGGTGTGAACAGTTTAATTATAAAACGAACATAAATTATAGTGCCATTTGTTATAAACCTCATTTATTATAAATGCTAAGCCTAAACTAATTTGTTGAAACTGAAATGTGTGGAAAATGCTCTATAGAAATAAACATGGGCTAAATATATTAAGGCATTTTGCTTCTGAAGTAAATGTATCTTGATTCAAGAATGTTTAGATATTTGTACTTGAAAATAAAATAAGAAATACTGAGGAAGAAAATTATTTTTTGCAGTGAAAACTAAAACTGAAAATCAAAAACGGTATAGACTTTTAAAAATTACAAAAACTAAACTTTTAACTTAAAATTAAAATCAAAACAGAATATATGAAAAATAAAACAATTATCCCAATTGTAATGAAAACTATAATAGTATCTCAGTGATACTAAAATAACACTGGATGTTACTTATATTCCAGAAAATATGGTAAAATTGGTCAAATATGGTCTTTCAGAATCAGAAGAGCTTTATTACCAAGTATGTTTACACACACAAGGAATTTGACTTGACGACAGGAGCTTCCAGTGCAGAAGAAAGTACAGACATTCTGTTGTGCAGACATACATGGGAATAACACAGAAATTAAATAATGTACTATATACAGAAATAGAAGTATAGGAAACATTCTTTAATTGTTTAAATAAATGTACAGATATGTTATAAGTGTGCAGATATGTTATTTACAAAGTGTGCAGTTTACAAGTGTACAAATTTTGGATTCTGTGTATATAAATGTCAGTTGTGATGAACGATGTATGAAGTTTTAATTGTTCAGACTGAATATAACCTGCGGGGAAAAACTGTTCTTGTGCCTGGCTGTTCTGGTGGTCAGTGCTCTGTAGTGCCGACCAGAAGGCAACAGTTCGAAGAGAGAGTGGGCTGGGTGTGAGGGGTCCAAAGTGATTTTCTTAGCCCTTTTTTTTCACTCTGGATCTTGGAGGCTGGGCAGAGGGGCACTGATAATCCTTTCAGCAGTCCTGACTGTCTGTTGTAGTCTCTTGATGTCTGATTTGGTAGCTGAACCAAACCAGACAGTTATGGATGAACACAGGACAGACTCAGTGACAGCAGAGTAGAACTGTTTCAGCAGCTCCTGTGGCAGGTTGAATTTCCTCAGCTGGCGACGAAGTACAACCTCTGCTGGGCGTTTTTAGCAATGAAGTCTATGTGAGTGTTCCACTTCAGGTTCTGAGAGATGGTGGTGCCCAGGAACCTGAATGACTCCACTGCAGCCACAGTGCTGTTCATGATGGTGGCCGGTGGTGTTTTGAATTACAGCTATGAGTGCGACTGCAGTGGCACTGGATTTGTGGGCTCTTTCTGTGAAGTCGACATACCCGAGTGTGAGTCTGACCCCTGTCAGCACGGCGCCACCTGCCAGGAAGGAGTTAACCAGTATACCTGCCTCTGCTGGCCTGGTAACTAGTCTTCAGTTGAACCTTTTCATTGTCTCTTTGTGTTTATTTTTGCATTCAAAGGCTCATTTAATGGCAAGTGAATTGCAGTGATGATGTCTTAGCATCACACCACATCTGTTACATCACACTGCCGCCTAGAGAAACATGTAGGACATTGCAAAGAGAATCGTAAACTCCAAATGAAATGCTATTTCAGACTAGCATGGAATGCATGTTTTTATTGGAGTAGATGTACCATATTTTCCATCAAATAACTGACTCCATATGTCTCCACGGGTTTAAAATTGCTTTGTTTGGATTAATACATTCAGAAATAATATATAAATATAAATGAAACAATAAATGTTTACAAACATTATAAACACTATAGACATGTATTTTAGTTGCCCTCACTAAACAACCAACCTTTTCAATTTAACTGTATGCACAACAGAACAGGTGTGAACAGTTTAATTATAAAACGAACATAAATTATAGTGCCATTTGTTATAAACCTCATTTATTATAAATGCTAAGCCTAAACTAATTTGTTGAAACTGAAATGTGTGGAAAATGCTCTATAGAAATAAACATGGGCTAAATATATTAAGGCATTTTGCTTCTGAAGTAAATGTATCTTGATTCAAGAATGTTTAGATATTTGTACTTGAAAATAAAATAAGAAATACTGAGGAAGAAAATTATTTTTTGCAGTGAAAACTAAAACTGAAAATCAAAAACGGTATAGACTTTTAAAAATTACAAAAACTAAACTTTTAACTTAAAATTAAAATCAAAACAGAATATATGAAAAATAAAACAATTATCCCAATTGTAATGAAAACTATAATAGTATCTCAGTGATACTAAAATAACACTGGATGTTACTTATATTCCAGAAAATATGGTAAAATTGGTCAAATATGGTCTTTCAGAATCAGAAGAGCTTTATTACCAAGTATGTTTACACACACAAGGAATTTGACTTGACGACAGGAGCTTCCAGTGCAGAAGAAAGTACAGACATACTGTTGTGCAGACATACATGGGAATAACACAGAAATTAAATAATGTACTATATACAGAAATAGAAGTATAGGAAACATTCTTTAATTGTTTAAATAAATGTACAGATATGTTATAAGTGTGCAGATATGTTATTTACAAAGTGTGCAGTTTACAAGTGTACAAATTTTGGATTCTGTGTATATAAATGTCAGTTGTGATGAACGATGTATGAAGTTTTAATTGTTCAGACTGAAAATAGCCTGCGGGGAAAAACTGTTCTTGTGCCTGGCTGTTCTGGTGGTCAGTGCTCTGTAGTGCCGACCAGGAGGCAACAGTTCGAAGAGAGAGTGGGCTGGGTGTGAGGGGTCCAAAGTGATTTTCTTAGCCCTTTTTTTTCACTCTGGATCTTGGAGGCTGGGCAGAGGGGCACTGATAATCCTTTCAGCAGTCCTGACTGTCTGTTGTAGTCTCTTGATGTCTGATTTGGTAGCTGAACCAAACCAGACAGTTATGGATGAACACAGGACAGACTCAGTGACAGCAGAGTAGAACTGTTTCAGCAGCTCCTGTGGCAGGTTGAATTTCCTCAGCTGGCGACGAAGTACAACCTCTGCTGGGCGTTTTTAGCAATGAAGTCTATGTGAGTGTTCCACTTCAGGTTCTGAGAGATGGTGGTGCCCAGGAACCTGAATGACTCCACTGCAGCCACAGTGCTGTTCATGATGGTGAGTGGGGGGAGAGTAGAGGGGTTCTTTGAAGTGCAGTCATTTGTGTAGAGGGAGAAGAGCAGTGGGGAGAGAACACACCCCTGAGGGGCACCAGTGCTGTTCGTGATGGTCCTGGATGTGAGTTTGCCCAGCCTCACTAGTTGCTGCCTGTCTGTCAGGAAGCTGGTGATCCACTGACAGATGGAGGTGGGCACGGAGAGCTGTGTGAGTTTGTCTGAGAGAAGGTCAGGCATGATGATATTGAAGGCCGAACTGAAGTCCACAAATAGGATCATTGCGTAGCTGAAGAGGATCCAGCAAGGGTCCAGTGATGTCCTTCAGGTAGGCCAGGACCAGTGTGTGAAGTGCAGATCAGAGCGGGTGCTGGGTGTCAGCCTGGCCTTTTCAAATCGACAGTAAAACACATTCAGATCGTCAGCCAGTTGTTGATTCTCCACAGACTGTGGGGGTGGTGTCTTGTACAAGGTGATGTTCTTCAGACCAGTCCATACTGACGCTGGATCATGGCTGAAAACTGTTTTCTCAGCTTTTCAGAGTAGTTATTTTTAGCCACTCTGATCTTCTTTGTTAGTCTGTTCCTGGCCTGGTTATACAAGACTTTATCCCCATTTCTGTAAGCATCCTCTTTGGCGTGAC